GTCATTACAGACATTCATAGGCAAATGACAATCTTTTGCAACGAAAGTCATTAATTTTTCTTCTGCGTCTACATGAATTGAAAACCGAGGATATATAAAACTAAGCCTCGCGCTTGGTAAAACGGGATACAAATGGGAAACCACCGATTGTCTGACTTAAGTTCACGGTTTAAGACGGTTTTGTTGTAGGCGATTCCACAGAAACCGTGTTGCTGTTTTCAATCATAGGAATTAAAGCAGGTCTATCATGACGAGGTAGCTTATGTTCATACAGAATTTCACAATCGGCCAGTTTATTTTCCATGATATTTATATTTCTACTTGAAACAGGAGGCCGACAGACAGGCCGAAACATGCATTCTGTTCCTTAATAAAATTACGGAAAATGGCCTCTGTTCCTCCAGACGCTGAAGAAACAACAGGATTAGCTTGCAAAGAAGAAGCTTCCAGCGGAAGACGGTGGTTCTTACCCGAAATCGAATGAGCTGCATTTGTCTAGGTCCAAGTCACACTCTTCCTCGCAGTTTTTGACCCGCTGAGACACTGTGCTCCTCAGGACGTCGGACGATTTGAGCCGCTGTCCAATTGCCACCCTCTCGTAGCAGTCTGCAACAGTGGCAACAGTCTGTCCTTCACAAGCGAGCATGCAGCACCTTCATCTATGAAATCAGCTAAAACAGTTTTATATACAATCTTCACATTTACGTTACAGCTTTAGAATATAGCACTGCCAGAACATAAGAAAAATCTTATTAATTTGAAAGGACCTTACATATAAATCTGGTTACAGAAAATGAGCCCATAACATGATTATCTAATTCCCTCTTATATATAAAAGGGTATATTTGCCCCTGTGCCTATTTAATTAAGCAATGAAGACAAAAGGGGGAGTGAAGGTATAGATCCACCATTCTTGACCTCGGCACTGGATGGAGGAGAGTGGTCATTTTGGACCGTTCCTCTTCCGAAGAAACAACAACCATGAACCTTCCCTAGTTCCTCATAACCTTGCTACGGACGGCAAAATCACAAGAAATCTTCAATCTGCTAAGCCTTTGCCACATATCCATCAAGGTAGAGGCTTACAGGGCCCAGACTGGACTTACTCAATGCCATAAGTGTCAAGAGTTCGGCCACGTCTGGGCTAACTGTAAACAACCTCCAAGTTCTTTGTGGTGCGGAGGCGGTCACCTACGCAAGGAGAGCCCAGAAAAGGGAAACTCTGCCTCCACTCCAACTTGCTGCAACTGCCGGGTGGCGGAGGGAGACAAACCTCATCCCGCCAATTATCGGGGTTGCAAACAAGCCAAGGAGGAGTAACAGAAAAGGAAGGCATGGAGAGCGCCCAAAACTACAACGGGGAGGGTGTTCTCCTCAAACATCGTCATCCTAGGTGTCTCCTTCGCGGCGGCACTCCGAGGAAACGCAGGACAGCAGCAACGGCGCCCTCGGGAAAACCATGTTCCGATGGCTCCACCCACAACAAGGAAGCAGACTGTACCGGTTCCTGCACTGCAGAACGAAACAGGTCAGTCAGTTCTGGCTCCTCATGCAAACAGTCAACCTCTCGACAATATGTTGAGAGTAGTGACTGTACTACAGAAGATCATGACAGTGTTCAAAAGTGCAGTGTCCGAGGAGGACAAAATAGTGGCCATTACAAAGTTGTATTAAATCTGATGAAACAAAATGGCCACTAGAGTTCATAGGTCACTCAAAGTCATAGCATTTAATGCGAACGGCATTTGGAGGCAGCGCTATGAGCTCAGTAAACAGCTGCAAGACCCACACGTAGATGTGGCCCTGTTTTCAGAGACACATCTGATAACTCATGAGATGTTCTCTCTTCCAAATTACCACTTCTACAGAACCGACCGCCACTCGGGCAGAAAAGGCATCCCCCATAACCATGTCGACCTACCACCCCTTGTTTCAGTAGAAGCGACAGGGGTCTGCATACCAATTGGTAACAGCGAAGTACTGCTTGCAGCTGTTTATAAATTCCCAGGCAGGTCCTGGAGTGATGCTGACATCTCTGAGCTCTTAAGCTTTAGACGTAAGTCTATTGTGGCAGGTGATCTGAATGCTAAACGCCCATTTTGGAACAGCAGAGTTCAAACACCTCAGGTGAGAAACTCATGGATTTGCTTGATATGAGTGAATTCGAAATTTCAGCACCACAGTGCCCCACTCATTATTCCCCTGCGAGAAATGGTGACGTGCTGGACAGTGTGGTCCACCAAAATATCAGAGTGTCAGATGTCATCGTCTCTGATATTTTGGATTCAGATCACCTACCAATAGTATTCCACATACTGGATCACGTTCAACTTAGGACTCTTTCGGAAGCTATTGAAAAGTTCACAGATTGGGAAGGGTTTCAAAGCCCCATCTCTGAACTAATATCACCTAAACTAGAAATTAAGTCGGGGTAGAAGCCGATAAAGCGGCACGCGACTTTGCAGCCTCTATTGCTTCGGCATATCCACAAGAAAACTTACACTTTTGGACGTAAACAACGATCTTCCTGGTCTAGATCGCTTGTTAAAACATAAGCAGAGGCTACGAAAATTGTGGCAAGAAACCAGGGATCCAGCGTGTAAAACGGCAGTGAACTGGGTCACAAAATCAATCAGGCGAATGACCCGTAAAAAGGCACTTGAACGGTGGGAAACAAAAATAGGTAACGTTGAAGTCACACCTCAGGGTATATGGCCCATTGCGAAATCTCTCTTAAAGAGAGATGGACCAAGGGCACCAACTGCTATTCATGGTTCTTCTGGCATTAAATGCCATCGTTCCGAAAAAGCCAACGCAACTGCTGACTGTTTGGAAATTCAATTCATTCCGCACGATCTGTGTGACGATAACCATGAACGACGGGTGGAGCAGATGACGATATATTTTAGCACGTACCCCCGTTGCTATGTAATGACTCTGCAAACAACGCTCGTTGCTAAGCAACATATCCCTAACACGCACCAATGAACTAACTGGGAAGCGGTGTTCTCTACTCGGTCTGTGCAGAATGTAGAGTTCAGTTATCTTCGAGAGAGCCGCCGGCCAGGAAGGGCGTGAACACTGAAGCTGAGGAAGCTACGGCGTTGGAAGTCGTTACGAGGCGACACCTGGTGAAGATACGGCAGACAAAGACTTTGTACGTGGTGTAGTGAACTGCAGCGTGTGTGATTTAGCGTTAGCGATATAGATACTTTTAGTTATGTTCTGTAAGTGTTCAGCAAATCCAATCACCAATCCAAACCTCGTCTATTAGTCACCCCTTCACGTGACGATATAATAGATTTTGGTACTGTAATTAAAGCTGGAAATTGTAGGGTTAAAATGGGCTATCACAGCTTGCTTTTACATTTCTCCTGATTCAGCGTCCCCATCCGTCCTGTCCTGTCTCAGCATTCTATCATATCAGAAATGGAATGAAACGTTGTAAAATAGCCAGAACAAAACTAACGGTACGTGTTGTCATGCGGCTATTTCTGTTATTTCTCCATAAAAACGAGAGTTAGCTGCGCCTTAACAGGTAGTCAGTCACTGGTTATATAAAACAAAGGACGGTCCGCCTCTTCAAGGTCGACGTCTCTGAGGGAACGTCGGAACACAGAAGATTTACGTTCAGGAAGGAAATGCAATAAATTCTGTTCATAAGTCAAATTATTTTTACATGGGAAAAGAAAAAAGATTATGTCAGATATAATTAATACATTTTCAGTATGAAATAATTATTTATTCTTTAATAGTCAAAGACCGCCTCTGTGGTCTAGTGGTCACAGTACCTGAGGTCCCGGGTCCGATTCCCGGCTTTACCACATTTCCTGAAAATCTTATTCGTTAACAATCCCTCATCCGTTACCAGCAGGATAGGAGGTCGGGTGACGCTCTGGTCCAACAGCGGGCTCTTCATGAATGCCGACAGATGGTATGCAACCGAACATATAATGGTTATGTACCATAAAAAATGTGGTCAACCACCAATTACGCTTTGTGATAAAATGACAAGATCTAAAATTTTGTGACAATGGTACATTGGTACAAATATTATATTTATGGACATCATCCTTTGTCCTGTTTTTATCCAAAAACTATCCTGCTTACTTTTCAAAACACAAGGTTTCGGAGACTGGATTCTGTCTCCGTCTTCGATAAAGCTAGATCCTGTCTCCGGAGATAGAGTCCAACTGAGTGGGTTCTACCCGAAGACGGAGACAGAATCCAGTCTCCGAAGCGTTGTTTTGAAAAATAAATAGGACGGTTTTTGGATAGAGACAAGACGATGGATAATGTCCAAAATATAATATTTGCAATAAAAAGCAGATTATCTTAATATTCATGAATAAAAGCTACTCGTATTTTGTTATTAACTTGAGACTCTGCAGCATTTTAATGAAGCCAAGTTCTTAATTTTACACAAAATATTTTACCGATATGCACATTCGATTAATCACTGTAACATGGGTAGAATTATTTCAAATCATCATAATCTTCATCGAATATTCTAAACAATTTCAAATCTTCTTGCTTTAGTTGCTCAGAACTTTGGTATCGGACACCAATCCCATGACATGAATACTGACTCCAGCAGGAGTTGCGCAAACTGACAATTCTGATCGAAAGAAATCAACGTGATTGCTGTAGCATTCGTTGGATGCAAAGCTCTGGATATGATGTGAAGGGTTCATATTTTGTGTTTAATGGTTAAAAACTACTGTTGCGTGTTTCCTAGGTAACGCGATAAGAAACGATGGGTCTCGGGTTAGACGGATATGTTTATTGGGCTACTCTTTGGTTACACTCGCAATTACACGTACAATCGCTCGCAGTTATAACGCCTTCAGACGTTTCCTCTTCAACGGCCCTGCTCTTGGGCCACTAATCTCGGTGAAGTGTCTTGGCTCTTCTTTTGTCGCTTGTCGGATCTGAACTGACTTGGTCTGACTGCTAAATTGTCGCTGGTTCTCCCCAGCACAACTTTTTTTTCGGTTCCGAGTCCCACGGGACTCACGACCATATTTTACCGCCTGACCGTCTGTTTTTCGCTTATATCCTACGCTCGGAAGGGATAGAGGCTACCTTTTCGAGAGGTTCAGCTTCGCTGCTGTCATGCAACTGCCTCAAACAATTCGTTACTTAGGCATTGCTAGCCTCTTTGTAATGGTGGAAAGCCAACTGTTAGGTAGGCCGCACACCAGCCTGCGTCAAGACATGTAACAGTCAAGACACGATGTCTGCGACATGACGCAAAGAAAGGAACACAGATGAAACGAATGAGATTATGAAAACCGCCGCACACCGGTCTGAGTCATGATGTGACGTCAGCTTCATGCCTCATGTCTTGGTGCTTGTCTTGAGCAGTTGGTGTGCGGCCGCCCTTAGGCTTAACGGGTGCGTTGTTTAAGCGATTTACTAGGCAACGGGCTAATTTCGTTGCCTAGGAATTATTAGCCGTTGACCAGCAATAGACGCCTTATAGTCCGGCCTTCCTGGCAGCATGTCACAGTATGTTCCTTATTTACTGAAGGGGGATGAAGTGTGGTTCCTTTCAGTTTTTTATTTAACAATGCTGTCAGCAGCGAGATAATATAGCGTCGAATAACAGGATGATTAATGAGTGTGCATCGGTTGATGCGATGAGAATTGGAGGGGGAAACAAAAGTACTTAGATTAACCCCACCCCACTGCTACTTTGTCCACCACAAAGTCCATATGACCTGACCTGGGATTGAAACCGGGCTGCCACTAAAATTGGAGATTTTGGATCTCACATCAGTGACTATGAAGTGTGATATTTCTTGAGGTGACGCGGTTTAGTGTGATAGAAGTCTACAGACCCCCAGCGAAAAGCACTGTCTCAGCTTTCACGGTCGAAGTAATATTGCTGAATGCTGGTTGCTGGTTTGGCTTCTCCTCAGTATTGAAGACGGAAGCAGTACGTTCCCCCGAAACGTCAGTAAAATTTTACCAGACTACAAGGCGCCATATTTCATAAAACAGTACTCTTCGAACTGCAATGTGTTTACACAGAACAAAAAAATTGGAGAACACACTGCAAAAAGAATGTCACGAAAACGACACAAGCACAAATTCATAGCAGATACAAGGAACCTGATATTTACATTGTTTCGTGGTGAATGACATTAAATGGGCAAAAATTTATCTTTGTAAACAAGTAAATATGAAATCAAATCAAGATTTCTAACTGTACTAATATAATATATTTAATAATGGAGCATTAGTGTAGTTTTCTTAGTGTCTAAGAGCCGCATCATAAAAAAGAACAGCGAGGCCTCGTAATCCGGATCACTGACAACACGATAGGGGTGAATGGCCAAATTTCCTGCCACTTGTCCCTGGAGAAACAGCTCCCGCATCCATTAGACCTTTCGTGAGTTCATGGTCCTTCAATACGTGGTTGCTACTACTACTACTGCTACTACTACTACTACTACTACTACTACCACTACTACTAATTTATTTTCTACGCTTACCGCTTCTTATGGACGCTAGTTGGCTGTCTACTTTCACACCGTCCATGCGGACAACTCCTACCATTGCCCCCAACACACACAGTACGATTTGCACACCGTACTTCATACTGTTTCACGAGCACGGATCAAAGGCGTACTGGAATCCTGACAGCTTCAATACTCTTACTGCTGTAATGATGCTTGAGTCTTGCGTTGGTTGCATTCGTGTATGTGTTCTTCAGAAGAGGTAAGTGAAGAAGAGATACGGCCAGTTCTTTTCGTTCTGCGAAGATGCAACGGACTGAAACGTGACGTAATATAAAGATACGTCAACATAATTATTACAATTATTATAAACGAAGTATCGACATAGAATCGGAAGAGTTTATTCTATAAGAATATCCTTAAAATTTTGTCGTAGAGATATTTTCCACGCCTTTTGAAGGTATGAGGTAAAATTACGCGAATTCTGTAAATCAGATTGTTTATCGTGGACAGGTTAGGTTGGCTGCAAGACAATTTAATACTGTACAGAGCATTTATAGATAAATGAAATGAATATAATGGAAATGTGACGTCTGCAGAGCTCACATAAAACATAAAGACACACGTGACTGCAAAAGTAACGTCATTTAAACCTCTCTAATATATACGACAGCAGATCACAGTGGCCGCGCGACCTAAGCATGAAATGCCTTCGCCCGCTCGAATACTGGGATAGTGGGTTCGAATCGCACTCAAGGCATGGAGGTTTCTTTGTGTTTGTGTTAGGTAGCGGCCTTGCGACGGGCTGATCCCCCGTCCAAGGAGTCCTACCGACTGTCTTAGGCTTAAGAAACTGAAGTGAAACAAAGCGTTTCACGGATGACCTATGTTATAAGTGGGAGTAACAGGAATAAAAGAAGGAAGAGGAGGGACGGCCTCTGTCGTCTAGTGGTCAGCGTTCCTGGCTACAGATCCAAAGGTCCGGGTTCGATTTCTGGCGCTACCAGAATTTTTCGGAGAAGTAGTGGGTCTGGAACGGGGTCCACTCAGCCTCGTGATGATAATTGAGGAGCTATTTCAAGGAAATAGCGTCTCCGGTCTAGAAAACCGAAATTAACGACCGTGGGGATTCGTTGCGCTGACCATGCGACACCCTCTATCCGCGAAAGTTGGCACTAACTTCACCGACAAGCGGCGGTCGCTCGGTCGGTATACTTCGCTTGCGGACTAAAATCAAGGAGTTTGGTTTTTTTGGAGGAGGAGGCGGAGGAGGAGAAGAAGAAGAATATGTACGAGTAAGAAGTATATGTAATATTAGGAAACCACTGCCACTTGCAAAGTAATTTTTAATAGTCGAGTAATGTGAGCAGTTTGTTTATTAACATAAGTTTACGAAAATTGAACTATTTATTGTATATACTAGGACATTTAGATTCCTGTTGGTGATGTTAACGCATTATATAGAGTATAGGATAGCTCAGTCAGTATAGGGACAGGCTACGGGTTGGAAGACCAAGGGGCCGGAGTTCGTGTCCCGGCGTGAGCAAGAATTTTCACTTCTCCGTGTCGTTCAGACCGGCACTGGGGTCCACCCAGCCTCCTATCCAATGGGTACCGAGGTCTCTTGCCTTGGGGGTAAAGCGGCCGGGACATGAAGCTGACCACTCACCTCCAACTAGTGCCGAGGTCACAAAAACGTAGATCTAGGCACCCACTCCCAGAAACGCCTTCATGGCGCAGTGCTTAATTAGTTAAGTATAGCGACAAATTTATCTCTTTACCTTTACTTGTTTAAGGCGCATTTTTACACAGTTAGTTGCTGATCAAAGAAAACATCATAATGATTTCGCAGCACCGTCAGAAGAGAGTACACACAGTTCAGTAAAACGTCGGAAGCGACAAGAGGTGCCGATACACGAAGAATCGCCTTGATTTAGCAGTACGTCAGGGAAGAAGACTAACAACAAAAAGCCCAAGAAAGAGCTCCTGGTCCTCCAGCAACGATCAGGGACTTGAAAGGCACTGTAAGGAAAATATGAGCCAAGCATTGGCAAAACACCGTAGGTTGACTGACGTAACAATTTCACAAAGAATACAGAATTCTGCTGGAGGACTCTTCAATTTGTCTCAATATCACAAGGTTTGGGAAGGGGTGGCATGTAGTAGGCATGGGAGAGATGAAAAATGCTTATATAATTGTGGTCGAAAGGCCTGAAGGAAAGAAAAGCATTTGAGAGATTTAAGCTCTCATTCGTCTTGTAAAGGGATTATAAACACAAAGACATAATGGCATAAGAAAATATTTCCTTCAGCGCATACATTGTTAGATAGTGTTTCATGTTTCAAAACCAAGTCTCCCTATTTTTTTTAATTGCTAGTGGGGTGGGACTAAGTCCCTTGTACTGCGGCCACTTCTGGCCTATTGTACCAGCCCCAGATGATAGCTGAGGGCGATTGTGAAGCATTTGGTGGAATGAAGATTGGCAGGGGAAACCGAAGTACTCGGAAAGTCTCCCTAAGTACTTCAGCATTAACCACATTAAAGAAAAGGATACATCTGAAAACAAAAGAAAACAAATCGGCCTTCAGTAATGACCTTTACTAAAACTGTTTACAATTGTGTCCAGACAGTGCTGCACTCTTGCGCTTAACAAGAAGAGGGCACGTCTTCACGACTAAATTCAATCACTATCATTTTGTTACCAGAACAACGAGCTTCTATCCTAGAAAATGTCACTATTATAGCGAAACTTCGGTTGAAAATTTATATGCAGTACTCCCTCTGAATATTTTAACACGGATCCTTCTAAAGTGTATTTATATGTATACACATAATACACATGCACACAAGGTAGGCTTAAACATGTAAAGCTATATACATATGTTTCTAATTAGCTTTCATGCACATGCAGTTGGTTACTAGAATTCATTCCTTTGGGAGACCTTTCAATTCCGTTGTGACAGTAATACCAGCTCAAACACGTGAGTAGCTTACGTAACGAAGTTGACGGTAACTCAGACTGCGTAACATCGAACGGTTGTATAATAGTGAATAATGAATTTGAAAGGATGCAGATAAAAGCTGTCATGGCTTGATTAAAGGTACCATCCAGATATTTTCCTGCAGGGATGGAAGAAGACAATTAAAATTGTCATTCGGAATAGCGGCTGTCCTGCGCAAGACTCGAA